CCTTACTTGGAAAACAAGGTGAATGCACGTTCGGGACATTCGGGTTCTTTAGATAAGACTGTTCGGAAACAGAGGTCCCTATCGGTAACTTCAACAACGGCAAAGGCAGAGGCTGGGGACAGGACTAAATCTGTTTCCTTGAAAAGCAAGCAACAGGGTAGTACCACAGCTGAAAAGAAGATTAATGGCGGTTCAGATTCTTTGCATGAGACCCAACAGAAACCAGCAGTGACATCAAGCATGGTGAAAGAGGGTTGCTTGGAAAGCACTCAACAAGGTCTTGCGGTTCCCGAAAAGAAGATTAATTCCGATTCGGGTTCTTCCCATAAGAGTGTGCAGAAACGTACAACGCCGGCATCAACAAATGCAGCACATATCCAGGATGATAAGATGGTGGCCGGAGAAAGTAAGAAACCAGGGCCACTGAAGGTCAGAGTCATCTGCGGCGGACGAGACTTCAGTAAAGAAATAGGGTTCCCAAAATCTCTTCATCTTGGAAGCATGTCAAGATCAATCTCATGTTCATAAGTGAAGACCATGCCCCTCTTGAAATCTATTGCATGCAGTGCCACCTCTGAGTCCCCTTGTTATGTATATGTTTTCCAGTTCAAGAATTCATTGGTTTATGTTGAGACTGACTATAATACCCTAGTTATTTTGTAGAGAGATAATGAATTTGAATGAAGGCTTAATGATGATTTTTTTATTGCACAATGTCACAGTTCTTTTGTTTTAGTTGTAATTCAGATGTTCTGTTCTAATCAAGGTTTTAAAAACCGGACCGGTCATTGAACCGTTTTCGGGTCCGGTTTCCGGTTTGACCGGTTCAACCGGTTGAACCGGTGAACCGGCCGGTTCAAATGACAAGGGAAATTTGATGAGAGGGATAGGTAATTTTGTAATTTCATTAAAATTAAGGGTTAAAATCGGTATAAGAAAGGAATGGTGAGGGTGAAATTGGAAAAAAAAAAAAGAAAATTGCATGAGAAATTGAACCGGTGGTTTTTCCGGTTCTACCGGTTCTACCGGTTCCACCGGTTTTATCGGTTTTGACCGGTTTTGAACGGTTTTTGACCGGTTTTGACCGGTTTTGACCTCAAACGGTTTTTTTGTGTGAACCGAGCCGTTTTCCTTACCGGTACCGGTCCGACCGGTTCAACCGGCCGGTCCGGTCCGGTTTTAAAAACCTTGGTTCTAATCAAGCCCCATAAACATATCCTTAGTGTTCTGGTCTGGTAATCAAGACACACAACATAATAGTTGGAGACAAAAAGAGTTGGAAATTAATCTTCCTTTTTTTTTTTTTTTTTTTTTTTATTGGCTATACTTTCATACAATTTCTAATTGATAAATATTTCAAATACCTGCAACAATCACAAGACAGGAAGTTTAACAGTGCTTTTCAAATGCGTTAAAATGTTATTACACAAGACTTAGCTCGTCAGGGACGCTTGAAACTTCTGTTTCTTGGTTCAATCCAATGGCAGCGAGTTTCTTCCTTAATGCCACCAATTCTTCCCCCGCATTACATATATAGGCCGACGCTTGTCTGCCGGATAATGTTGCTCCTTCCATACTATCTATATAATCCTGTACAACATAAAAGTCACTCAGTTTATAAAACATCAATTCTTCGTTTCTTTAATTCTATCAGCTGGCATCTCCATGCGTCTTTAACTCTAGCAAAATGGTATATGAAAGCAAGGGTTTACCTGCTTTGTATACGATCCAGCCAGGAAGAAGTTCTTAATGGGTGTCTTCTGATCAGGCCTAAATGGATCTTTACCAGGTCCCTCGCGGTATAGAGACTGCCCAATCTTGACAACAGATGACCAAATAACTTCCAAACCTTGGGATGATGGAAATAAAGCCAAAACCTGGCAGAAAATAGTGAAGAATGAAAATTCTGAATATAAAGATGATATCCAACACCAGCACCCCGACACTCTCAAGAAAAAAAAATTAAGAACGAACTAAGAAACCATTTTTGCATGTCTCCAGTTAATGAGTTGCTACATCACTTTGTGGAACATGCAACTGCACCAGGATTAAATATGGGAGTATTTTGTTTTTCTACATTATAAATTGCAATCGGCTTAAGAAAACAAGCATAGGCGTTTTAGAAACCACTGACCTGCTTTGCTACTCTATTTATGATTTCATCATTCGGCAACGGCATGTAAGGATCACCCGGGGTCAAAACACATCTGAAAGAGAATGAGATTTAGTAATTATGATAAGATACACAAGGCAAGCAAATATGCAAAATTAGGAATATTACAAGAGGAATAGTCAATCTGCATTTCCAATTTTCCATGAACGAACAAAGAACTAAAGTCAACACCTTATGTAAAAGATTTGGTTACCACAGGAGGTGGACGTATTTCCTGTGATGTTTATAGGCAATGAAAAAGTGATTATGAAAATAGAAGCAATCGTCCTTACTGGAGCAATGAACCATGTCCCTCAATGTAGTAATCCTCAGGAGAAGTGAGAGCTAGGTCTGCAAAGCATGAGAAATCTGCATCCGGAGTATACAGAAGGTTATCCATGCCCACAGCTTGCCTCACTTGCCTATTTATCACAAAGTAAGGTTATAAAGAAATGAAGCTGAATGTTTAAATCATGCTTAGGTTTTAAATAGTGAAGCAAGCAGAGTCTTTATCCTTGAAAAAAAATTGTGGTTTTGTTAACAGATAAACTCAGTATAGATAATTACCGTGATCGTTCGAGATCCTGTAACTCTGTGACCCAGCCGTTGTATCTAAGTTGCACAGTTACAACAGGCACTCCAACTAGCTCATAAATATTGTTAAAAAATTCCCACTCCCTCCACTGTGGCGGAAGCAACCGTTTAATTCCAGGGACATCACAAGCTGCCAACAATTGAAGACTAAGTTATAAAGAAATACACACCAAAAACACAAAAGGGGAAAATAAGGAAAAACTAACAATAAACCTGCAACATATGCATCAGCTTTGACGATTTTTTTATTAGTTGCCTGCAATGGTATACAAATTTAAAATTAAACCTTAAAAATAAAACCCACCTACAACATCAAATGATTATCAAAGGTATATTTTATTACAAAATAAAGTTTTCTTGAGGAAAAACTAGAAAAATCATGATGATATTGGAATTGGAATATTTCAAGAGGAAGGTTAAGGGTAGGGGTGGAAATGAGCTGAATGGCACAGCTTAATCCTTTAGGAAAAAAGACAAGCTTAAGCTCAAAATCAAGGTTGTTTGAATTAAAGGCTGAACTACAATCCCTCTTAGAAATCAATTTTAGGAAGTCTCTAATGCATACACATCAGTGAAAGCAACATTAAATTTACTTACTTTTGACGTGGCAATTCCTGTGATATATGTCTCTCCATCAGCAGATTTATCATAAAGTATCTCTCTGCATCCCCATCTCAAGTGGAATCTGCTCTTGCAAAGAAGGATATTGATTATGAACGCAGAAAGAAACAATGACACCTTATTTGGAAAATTAGCGTAAACCAATATTTGTAAACGAACCTGCCTCCTCTTTCTGTGATATAGTTCCTGATGGGACCACTCAAGTAAACATCTGGGGAACCCTTGAGCATTCGCAGAAGGGAAGCCTCTGTCTTGGTAGCAAATAATGAGAATATAGTCAGCATACAGCGAGCACTGATGTTATCACAGTCAATAAACCCGAGGGCATAAGCAACAGGATCCCACATTCTCTGGATGCTTGCACGTGTCCCACCTTTAGACAAAAACCAATCAGAGAAGCTTATCTGCAAGAAGTAAATGAACACAGAGTAACATTAGATTTGTAAGAGGATAAAGACTACATGAATCTAGCCCAGAGTAAAAAATTGTTGGATTAAGGTTCACAAGGTGAGTCTGGGTTAAAGTTAACGGAAGTGGATGAATGCAAAGAAATCTCAGATTGAAAGAAAACAAGGTGATAGAGTAGAATATATATGTGGAGGCCCATGAACTTGACTAGCATGTCTTTTAAGTTCAAGATGGCGCCTCTCCATATGTGTTCATACTCACTCATGCATGCTCTCACTGGGCTGGTTGACTCCTCAACAAGAATTATTTGGTAAACAACTTACAGTATCCAAATTTCTTATGACCCTCATTGCTCCATCTGGATCAACAAGAGCTCTCACGACAGGACTTAAGGCAAGAGCCAGAGCATTTCTTGCTTTATCATAAGTCTGCACATGAACAAAATTTGAGGAAAAATGCATCAAAGAAAATTTCATTTGCTGCAGAAAGCTTACAAACAAATCAAAGGATCTGCACATTAGTGATAACATATTAGCAAGCACTACCTCGAGCTGATTTGTAGACAAAAATGCACGGATCCCGTGTATGGGAGCACCGACTGGAAATCGGAAATCAAGTTCTGCAATCAAAACTCAAACTTACAAACATCGTACGACAAAATGGACTATTCATACTCTTAGTAATGCACACATAGCTGACAATAACCAAAAGAAAATATTTTGAAATCAACTCAAAAGAGAAAACAGAGAATCAAACTAAAATTTGTTCAAGCATACACCTTACCACCAATTTCACCCCCCTTGTTAACAAAAGTGTGAGTATGATCCTTCACAAGGAGATTTTTATCTGCACCAACCTGGGATAGAGTAGAGATCCAAGAAAAATTGTCAGAGACCAGGTAAGAACAGCAAAATGTTTTTGAAGGAAAGAAATTAAGATTTTGACTTAATAAGAATTGATAAATGAATTTTGAGAGAAAAATAAACTAAGGCAGCTACAGCATTTCACACAAGGCATATTGATTAGATAGGAATAAAGCCAAGGACTAAGATGTTTGCCACATTCTGATAACCATTTGGATGGTCAGGGGTAGGGTGGGGCAACACAAGAATCCTCATTCTTCCAGTTTCTCTGTGAAGAAAAACTATCCATCTTTCAACAAGGCAAGGCTCAAGGAGGTTGCAAGCAAAGCACACAGTACAGAAGAACACCATGGATGATAACAGACACATTAGCTATTTCTAATTATATTATCAACAGAAGTGTATCCAAACAGATGTGGTCCAGATTCAGAGGTCTTAACTTGTTCATTGTAAGGCAAAACTACTTGATCATACAAGCTCTAGTCTCAACAGCTCTACATTCTCATATGTGATTTTCTTGGTTATTGAAAATGAAGTTTTCAGATATAACAGTGCACAATGATGGAATAGTTATAATCGTAACTGCAATAATTCAACCAGCTCACCTTTTTCATCAAGCGGAAGAGATTATTGTAGCAACCAAAGAACACATGCAGTCCCATCTCTATGTGATTGCCACGTTTATCAACAAAAGAGCCTACTTTGCCACCAATGAAAGACCTTGACTCATATATATCCACCTGACAAAGACCAAAGTACTTATCTAATTACCACCATGGACAGGACTAAGGATTAGTCAGCAAATCATTCCCACATAGAGAATGAGCATTACAGGCAGCATTAGGTAACCGTGTTTTCACTAGAGAATGAAAAATGCCAAAAGATGTTTCTGGCATTCAACCAAGTAATTTTAACAAATTTATGGTTACTTGAAAGTTTATCTTGAAATGCCAATATTGTCTAGAATTTAGATAATGCAGAAAAAACTCAGTTGTGAGACAAGTAAAACCTCATGGCCCTGATCCAATAGCTCCACTGCAGTTGACATGCCTGCAAGTCCAGCTCCAATGATAGCTACTTTCAGCTTTGGTCCCCTGTAATGTTCAGGTTCTGGTGGAAACAAACCCTTTGGAGCTGCAAGAATATACCATCCAATTATTTATTATATAATTAACCAAAATAACAATGTTGGTGATCTTTAAATTATGAGAAACAAAACTCTGTTTAAGTATGATCTTTGCAGCACAACCCAGCACCGAATTTTCATATAAGCTGAGATGGCCAAATCAATTTAATAACTAATCCACTACAATTTTCGCTAAGGAAATGCAGCAAAGCCACTTTGACATCTCCAAACCTCCTGCTAAGTTGCAGAAATCAAAATCAAGGTAAAACCTCAAACCCATCTCCGGCATAAAAATAAATCCCCAGAAAACAAGAACTCCCAAAATCCAAAGACCCCAAACAACCAATTCTTGCAAAAATGAAAATGCACAGAAAGGGACTCGGAAAATTACCATTAACGCTCATATCAGACACGTTAGTATCCAGAGCAGACCGCACACATAGCCTCTGAGACCTAAGCTTACCCACTGAACCAAGCCCAGTGCACCCAAACAGAACAGAACAAGAAGCCATAGGTGCCAGTCTTCAAAAATACCCAGAAATGAAAATTTGAGCACTCCTTTGAAACCACCAGTGGTAGTAATATTACCAGTATAACCCGATTCAGAACGAAATTACAAAGAGGAACAAAGAAGGTATCTACACGGAAAGATGTCAAAGGAAAGAAATTTGGCAGGATGTTATTGCAAGTTTTTAGCTAAAACAGTAGTGTAAAGTGCGAGACATGAAAAAGTGAGGCGGTGACACTGCCACTAACAGAAAATGGGCCAAACACAAATTAACAAAATTCAAAGTATCAAACCAAATTCTGTGAAAGACAAAAGACAGGAGATGAGTTTGTAATAATTTAAGGACTGAATTCAATGTGGTGGATTAAAAAATTGTTGGAGTATTGGGTGCTTTTTTCTTCCTTATCTTTCCATATAATTTGAGGTTTTCGCTGCGGAAGAGGAAGGAACACGACGACTTCTTTCTTTAGTGACAGAAAAGTATGTTGTGTTGTTGATCCTGTATTTTTGTATGGAGTAGCATATTTAATCCAAAGCTTTAGATTTTTCATTTTTTGAACAAGGGTAATTATATTATGTTACAAGTACAAGCTAAGTGCCATGGTTATCACCAGCAAAGAAATTGTTAGGGTCACACAAAAACAGTATAATTATTTTTAATTTAATTGTTAAAAAGAATTAATAACTATAATGGTTAGCTAATATGGCTAATAATAGATAGTATATGTGTATTTATAAAATAATATTTTGAAATACCTTAATAGTTATAAAGGGATAAAAAATTAAATTAAATTAAATTAAATACATATATTGTGTTCTATGTAGCTCCAATAATTCTTGGAGTCAGAATAAAAGCCAGTGGTCAAGCTCAAAGCCAAGACCACACTATTAAGCCTTAACCATTGTGTCACAACATGGTTAGCATCCAAAACTTTAGTTTGTATTAACTCTAGATTTGTAGCATGTGTGGAAGAAAGTCTAGAATATCATGAGAATACCATGTGAACGCATTCCCTCTCAATCCAATTAGAGTTTGCCACATCATCATGTGATGGAATAACATAATATTAAAAAAAAAGTTTTAAATATGTGAAAAAGTTTAGAATTAATGTTTGAAAGGTAAGATTTACATTTCAAATTGTGTAAGATTATTTCCAAATCTAGTACAATGGCTAGAAGCCTTAATTGAGCACTCTTGAAGAATAAATAGATGCAATTGGAGGTTAAAGCAAGATAAGAGAGAAGAAAACAAATGCCTTCATCTTTGAGAGAGGTTTACAAGTTTTTATTTTTTCATGTTTAAGTTTTCATTTTGATTATCTTGTGATTATTGTTCTCTTGGTTCTCTTGATTCTCTTTCATCAACAAAGTACGAGAGGGATTGAGTAGTGTTACTAGATTTAAAAACATCATCTTTTTGGTATAGAATTGAATTTGTGAGAAATTGTAACGATGAGTTAGTTTGTTGAAGATGGATAGCGCCATAAAAATTTGTTGAAGGTGGATAATGCCAACAAAATTATTGTCAACAATTTTCTCTATACTCGAAAGTTGAACGAGAAGTTTTGAATCGAAAGCAGACACTAAACAAGCAGTTTGAGGAGTGGTGTCAAACAATTATCAATGCCACCTAGCATATCAATGACAATTATCTAGTTTTGTATAGCATTTATTTCCTACATATCTTACATATATGTTGCCGATTGTGTATGAAGGGTGGTGTCGGACGTTTGCTCAACTACAGACGTGAAGGATGTAAAAATACTATGGGTCGAAAAGATGATGAGTCTCTATTTGACAACTCATTCAAATATGAATAAACTGAACAGCGAATCCCACTTTCTCTATGTTCATTTTTCGTTTCATTTAGCTTATCATTTTTTCAACAGGAGCTGAAGTAGCTGAAATTGAAGAGGATTTTGATTCCTGTGAGAAGCGTGCAATGGAAGTCAATTCAAGTGACAATGCAGTCAAGAAGGCTTAAAAACACTGCTCATTGTGCAAAAAATTAAAAACACTGCTCATTGTGCAAAAAAACAGTTAAGATTTGGACAAATTTTTAGGCATAAATATAAGGAAAAAAATATTTTAAAGTTTAGATTGTACATTAAAAATAATTTCATTATTTTTATATTATTTTATTAATAATAATTCAATAACTTTAATAACTAAACTGCATATTAAATACAAACTTGCAAAAATTATTAAATGGCGTCGCCCGGACTCGAACCGGAGACCTTCAGTGTGTTAGACTGACGTGATAACCAACTACACCACGACACCATTTGTTTTCGTGACTAATACAGATTTTATTTCAAACAAGAAAGAACTCAATCTTCACCTTCGGCGGGTGGCACCAAAGAAAACGAAAAGTAGAGCAACCTACTGGGCATACCCGCACCACATGAAAGTTGTGAGCTTTGAAAGAGGACTGTTGCAATCACAGAGGAAGGAATAAAAAGCGGTGGACTGAGGAGAAGAGAAGGAGAAATTCTAATTGGGAATTGCAGCATGCACGGGTATAGCATTTCTTTTCTTTCCTTCTTTGGTATGGCCTAACCAAATTCCATGTTTATTTCCTGTTTAGCCTCGAATTTTTTTTTTATTTTCTTTTTATCATCAAGTTTCTACGTTACAAAGTTTTGATCTTTTAGATTTTTTAAGGACCCGAAATGGGTCTGTTGAGTCTAGGATGATATACTGTAGAATATTATTGTTAAAGAATGCTTCTTTATCTTAATCTAAGAGGGGAATTTGGTTGTTCTTCTGTAGTTGTTAGCCTTGGTTTGATTTTGGAAGTTAATGTTAGATGGCTACTAATTTGGTGTATGTGGGTTTGCTTAATATGGGAACTTGATTGTGGAGTTGCTGCTAAGTATCTTGTTTTTACGTGGCAAATTCAGTTTTCTTCAACTGTAGAATTGGATTTCTCGTGTTAGTTTAATTATAATTTATTGATGTTTCTGTTTTATACTACTTTCAGATACCTTTTGGGCATGAAAAGGGTACTATGATTACTCCTGGTAATTTGCAAGTTTTCAAGAGTGTCATTTCAGGTTGGTTGATGATTTTTCTTGCTTCTGATGGAATTTAATGGTTTTTCTTGTACTTATTGATACACTTCACCTTAAGTCGGTTCAATAATGTGATATAGGTTTCATGGATAGCACATAGGTGCTATTGGGCTTCAAATTGAAATCAATATGCTATTCCATGTTTATATTAATTTATTTGGTTTTACATTCTTCTCGTTTCCTTGATTTTGCTCACTACTAAGCTTGCATGAGTATTAGTCCCGAAATTCAGATTAATAAATATGACTTTTGCAAATAGCCTCCCTTCTGTTGGTAGTAGTACTTGGTAAGCTAGGGACTTATGTCTTTGTTGGCTTTCTTTTCTGAGGTCAAGTTCGCCATAAAAGCTGATTTCCTCTTTTTCAGTAGCCTACATCTGATAACTATAGATGTTAGAAGAGTCTCATTCTCGTCTTTTTTTGGGCAAAAAGAATGTTGATTTTTTATCCATTTTATGTGCTAGTGGAATAATTAATGCCATTTTGTATTTGCTTCTCATTACCCTAAAGAAAGCAGTGCGGGAAGATGGTAGAGGATGATGCTAACATCTCAAGTCCAAGGGGTGGCCCTATATATATCCCTAATCTTGTCAGCACTCTCACTAGTGTTCCTAAGTTCCAAAAGTCTCTTCTGCAACAGCTTCAGGTAACATTTTCTGATTTTCATTTTCATTTCATTTTAAACTTTTCTCATTTACGCTTTTTTCTGATCATAATATATTTTTTTGTTGTTTGCAGGATTTGAAGGTTGAATTGAATGGAGATACATCTGAGCTCACAGATGCTGATGATATTTTGTATGTATTAGAATTAAAGTGTCTCCAATTTCACTCCCATCTTTTCTCCTTATCTTCATTGGTTTTCTAGAGTGTATTGTCCATTTTTCCTTTTTCATTAATTCAATCAATGATATGTTATTCTGTGTTATTTATTTAAACTCTAAGCAGTAAGTATTCACTTTTTGACCTCAAATCATACACTCATTCTCAGCTCAACCCATTGATCCAAATTCAATTCTTGATTATTATTATTATTATTATTTTTGTTTTCCTGAAATTACTATTACTTGTCCTTTTTCTAGTGTTGATGATCTGAGGATTCTCTCTGAGGAACAATTAGTTGAAATTGCTCTTAAGGAAGCTTTTAAGGTATGTGCTGCTGAATTTTCTTTTTTTATAAAGCTCTCTCTTTCTTCACTGCTTGTTTTATAATTTTGGTTTTCGGTAACAGGATGGTGACAATAGTTCAAAAGTTTCAGAGAAGTGCTCTAATGCATGGTGAGTCATATGCACTATTCCTTCCCAATCCAAAGAAAAAGTAATCTGGCTGCATTACTTGATCATGCCAAAAAGTTGATAAATTTCAGGCAAAAACTAAGTTGGGGAACTACCTTCAACTCAGAAAACGTACTTTTGTTTTGTGCTCATCTTGTATAATTGAACAGATAAATCTAGGAGAGCATTGAAAATCTACTCTCCATACTTCTGGTTTCTTTATTCATAATTTCTATTACATTGAATTTGGCAAGCCTTAGTTACAAATCTGTTGAATTAGTTTTAGATTCCCTTTATATATTATTAAAGAATTCCTTTAACAATTTTTACTACATTCCCCATTGAAGGGATATTCTTTAAATTCTTTAATTATTGTTGACTTCTTTTTTGCCAACTGAATTAATGATTGCTTAGCTCTTCTCTCTCTGTCTGGGACCATAATTGGAATCTGGTTAAATGGCTGTATATAGTGATCTGTCACTTAGTTTTGTTTCAGTATTTGATGTCTCCAAATTATGCTTTATTTGTTGACATTAATTATACAATGAATGGTGGATGTAGCAGGTCAAGAAATAAGCAAGCATGTTTGGGGAGCACCTGTATAGGAGATGATAATTCAGCTTCAGGTGATTTTGCAAATGGATGATCTTCTGTAAACAGTTCTAATCAAACTGTATTGACAAAGAAAAATAGCTCAAGGAAGAGGAGAAGGAAAGTTCATGACCACCATATTGAAGTATGTTACAGCTCATGATAGAGATATCTGTTGCCTCTGAATATCTGCTTCTAGTGTTTTTGTTCAGTTCTTCCTAAATTTTATATACCACATAATGACTTGGATGAGAATTTGATTTTCCAAATATTTCATTTTCTCTTTTTACCCTAGAGTCTGCAAGGTCTTAATCTTCTCAACTTTCTTCTCTTTAAAGTCTGAATAGTCTGTTTTTGCATTTTTCTACAACATATTTCCTAGTATTTGTTCAGAGTCTCCACCAAACCACCAACAGTTGCAACCATATTTAAGGTTATGAAAATATGTGCCATTTTAAATCTAGAATGTTTGTTATCTAAAATATTTTGTCTTGCATGCTTTTTCATTCCTTTCATAAGAAATTTTGGTTTTTCATTTTCAGAATAGCTATGTTGCAAAGGTGGAGGAAGTTGTAAAAATTAAACAAAAGCAGGATGAAGCAAAAGCAGCAGCAAGACTGCACTGTTTAAGGTTTGTAACATGCCATGTGTCCGGGACTCCTTCAGATGCTTCTCTTTTAACTTCTTTCCTAATAATTTTCTATTTTCTTGCCCAGTGCCGGCTGTCAAAGCAATGACTGTTCCATTCCATCCTCAGAGAATATTGAGAGGATGCAATCCCTCAGGTCTACAACTTCAGCCAGAAAGGTATGCTCCAGAGGTTCCCATGTGTAAATATCCAACACAAAACCAA